GTTCCCAGGGCTTGTTTGGGGGGGGGCAGAAGGGTCACTGGGTTTTGGGGTGGGGGTGGGGCGCATGACCAGCGCGGTGCCGCGGCAGGGCCCAGGCGTGGGCGCCATGGGCAAGAAGAGCGAGCGGGCGGCCAAGGAGCGGGCGGCCGCCATCGCCCTCGAGGAGGAGGCCAAGAGCGCGGCGCGGCACAGCGACGGTGCGGTCACGGGGCCGGGGTGATGCCTGGACAGGGCTGGTGGGGTCAAGGGCAGGGGTAACATCCGTGCCCCCCCGGCAGAGGAGTACCAGTGCACGGGGCTGCTGGAGCAGGACTTCCCGGAGCTGTGCGCCCGCGCCGGGCTCACCTACATCCCCCGCGTCACCGTGCGCCCGCGCGCCGTCTCGCTGCCGGGTGAGTGGGGCAGGCTGGGCCAGGCTCCCTTCCCCCCCACCAGTGCTCTGCCCGCCTGCAGCTACACTGGGCGCTGGGGCTGGGGTCCGGGGGGCTCTCAGGGCTGGGAGCACTGTGGAGGACCTGGGGAGCAAGGCCGGGGGCAGAACGGGGCCTGGATCTGGGGCTGCTTTGGTGACGGGTCGAAGCCAAACTGGCTCCCAGAGAAGTGGAGGGTCCCAGAGGAGGCTGGCTGCCGCGGTGCTGGATCCAGCTCTGCCTCCGTTCCACCCTGCAGAGGAGCCAGAGGCCACGGAGGGCCAGGCCAGCGCCACCCACATCCAGAGCAAGTACGCTTACTTCCGGCCCCGCATCCAGACCGAGCTGGAGCTGGACGACCCCAAGAGCGTCCGCGAGGTCTTCATGCGAGGTGAGCGGGCTGCTCAGGGGTGCTGGGAATGCTACGTGCTCTAGCTCTAGCCCTGGGCCGTGCTGCTGGGAACTGGCTGGAAGCTCCCTGATGCTGTGGCAGGAGTGCATGGGGCTGGCACAGGGATGGGGAGCCCCAACACTGTCCCCGCCACGGACCTGGGGCTTCAGCCGTTTCAGCTGCTGCTCCAGGCTGCACCGGGCTGGGTGGTCTCTGTGCCTTGCTGTCCCCAGGCTCCTGGGCTGTGTGACCGCAGCATCCAGGTGTTGAATGAGGCTGGCATCAGGAGCCTCCGTGGCCTGCACTGGACAGGCTCTTAGCACATAAGAGCTGCCAGATACTGGGTCAGACCATAGGTCTGTCTTGCCCAGTCGCCCCTCAATAGCTCCAAGCAGGTATCCACCTGCTTTTGAACTTGGTTAAGCCCTCAGCTTCCACGTTCCCAGCCCAGGTGGTGGGTACTGGCGGTGGGTGGATGGAGGCAGCGGCAGCCTGACTGCTGCCCACCTCCCATGACCTGTAGCCTTGTTCTGCCTCCGGCAGGTTGGAAGATTGAAGACAAGATGCTGGGCATCTTCAGCAAGTGCCTGCCTGCCCTGGGCAACCTGCAAGCTCTGCAGTGAGTGCATTGAGGGGCACGAGCTGTGAGGCAGGGCCCCGAGATGTGCCCCTGGCACCAGGTCTGGCTTAGCAGAGACCTGGCCTGGCCCAGGGGTTGTGGGCGTGACAGTCAGACTGGGCCCCTCTTCCAGCACATGGGGCTGGGAGGGGAGCTGAGGTGGGTGATCAGTAGGGCAGGGAGCTAGGAGACCTGGCTTGCCCCTGCCTTATCTGGGGTGAGTCTCCACCTCGCTGGCTGCCTCAGTTTGCCTCACTAAGGCTAGCATCACTGGACTGGTTGCCTCATAGGTTTAACATGGCTGCTGTGCCTCCCTCTGCAGCCTCTGGAAAGTTGGCCTGACGGACCTCTTGCTGTCGTCTCTTGTTAGCATCCTTCCCAGCTGCCCCAACCTCAAGTGAGTGCAAGGCAGGCACCGGGCGGGGGTCTTCATGGAAGGCAATGAACCTCTCACTAATTACCAGGACAAACCAAAGGGTTATGGTGCTGTAGCCTGCAGCTCTTGGCACCCGAGGGCTCTGACGGGCCCAGGGGATAGCTGGTCCCTCCATCCCTGGAAGCTCACAGTGGGGGCAGCTCATCACCGAGGTGGCCACAGTCTGGGCAGCTTCTGTTCTCCCTGCAGGACCCTGTCTCTGGAAGGGAACCCACTGCCTGAGGGCTCCTTCTACAAACTGATCCCCGAGGACAGCACGTGAGGCCGGGACAGGATTGGGGGAGGGCATGGGCTGGACCCTGTGGGGCCTTGGCCCCTGGGGTCCTGCGGGGTTGTCCCAGGATGGGGGTCACGCCCCTTTTTCCCCTTCCCCATACCTACTGAGATATGGAGTTACAAGGAAACCCCCCGTACTAGGCTGGGCTGGGGGAGCAGGGCTGATGGCACTCCCACCCGATCCCGCAGGCTTGCACACCTGTCGCTGCGCAACAACAGCATTGACGACGCAGCCGCCTGGCAGCTGGGCCAGGCGCTGTCCACCCTGACGGCTGCCAACCGCAGCCTGGTCTCGCTCACCCTCAGCTTCAACCATATCGGGGACGTGGGGGCCGACCACATCGCCCAGGTGAGGGGTTTGGCGGGGTGAGGGGGTAAGGCCAGGTCTGCTGGGGGCATGGGCTCTTGCAGGCTGACACCCTCCATCCTCGTCCATCCAGGGCTTGCGGCTCAATCGCTCGCTGCTGTCCCTGTCACTGGCGCACAACCGGATCGGGGACGAGGGCGCAGCCAGGCTCGCTGAAGTGAGTCCAGCAGTGGGCATCTCGATCTCCTGCTGCCTCCCTGCCTTGCAGCACTGGGGGTGGGTTTCAGGCCTGATTGCCTTTATTCTGTGCCAGGTGCTGGGGCCATTTGCCCTGACACACACTGAGGTGGTGGAGAGGAGACGGCTTCTGCTGGAGAAGGAGTCCCAGGAGCGCTCCCGGGTGGTGAGGATGCTGCCAGGCCCCTGGTGCCAGCAGGTCGTTTGGGCCTGCCCCATGGGTCGGCGTGTGGGGGGCAGTCCAGCGCTCCACCCTGAAACCTTCTCTTCCCTCCTTGAAGCGACACGAGGTCAAAGCCGACCGCCCCTCCAGCCTGGTCAGCAACACGACCATCGACAAGCTGCAGCCCACCAAGCAGGGCAAGAACATGGCCAAGAAGAAAGTGAGGATGGGCACAGGGTGGGGGGGGAGAACAAGACAGGGCACAGCCCCCAGCCTGCCGGCCCCCCGCTACAGGCTGTGCCCTTGTTCCAGGAGCCGCAGAAGAAGGAGGAGCGGGGGCAGGTGGGCAGCCCCAGCCTTGGTGGGGTCCCAAGTGGCCCAGCCTTCACGCCAGCCAAAAAGGAAGACGTGAAGCAGGCCAAGAAGAGTAGGAATCGTGCGGGGGAAGCTTGGGCCGTGGCTCTCAACCCCTTGGGAGAGCACAGGGTGGGGGGTCTGTAACCCCCTGCCGCCAGCCTGGTGTGTAGGGGGGGCTTGGCTGGGTGCCCACGTGGCAATGGGCCGCATCTCCTTGCAGCGCTCACCACCCCGGAGCAGAAGATCATGCGTGGGAAAGGTGCCAAATCTGGCAACAAGGAGAAGCGCAACCAGCCGCTGGAGCCGGAGGTGAGTGGGCCCTGCCCAGCCTGACACCGTGGTCCTGGCCTCCCTCCTCAGCCTGGGACAGACCCAGTCCAGGCCTGGGGGCGTTAGGAGCTGGGCAGAGCAGAGGGCACTGCCGCTATGGCCCCATGACCTGCTTCCTGCTGCACCCAGGTGCCAGAGCTCACCGAGATCATGAACCCACTGCTGGAGCAGGCTGAGCACCGCGAGGGGAAGGTTTTCCTGCCGGGCAACCACGTGCTCATCAACCTCAACCTCACCCGTGAGTCCTGGGGGTACGGGGCCCAGCTAGCTGCGTCCCCCCATCAAGCAGCCTGTGTGGAGTAGGGTGGGGGGTCCCAGCTGGGAGCTGGGACCCGTCCTGGGCCAGGCTCTTTCCTTGTACTGGGGGATCTACAACCCCCAGCTCCTTCTGGGGTGCCTGCCAGACCCTGACCACCACCTCCCCAACTACCCAGGCAACCAGATCACGGAGCAGGGCCTGCGAGCCTTCCTGGCTGCCGTGGAAAGCCAGCAGCAGCAGTGGAGCAAGGCTGGCGCGGGAGCCAAGGGGCAGACAGGGCTGCTCCGCCTGTCTCTGGGGGTAAGTCCTGCCCTGTGCTGCATGGGCACTACCTCCGGGCCTGGTGCCCCCAAGGCCAGAAGCTGCAGCACCCCCCCCCGCTTCTGTCGCCCTCGCAGAAGAACCACTTCCCAGCCGAGAGTGAGACCTTTGCCCGCATCCAGGAACTCATGCTGCCGCGCGACCCCCTCGCCAAGCAAGGCCCCAAGGATGAGGAGCAGTCTGTGCCCACATAGGGGAGGCGCCGGCAGCCCCAGGACTGTCCCCAGGCTGCCCCGTGGGGGACCTGCAGGAGGAAGAACCACGCGCGAAAGAACAACTCGCTTTGCTCTTTTCTTTAAAAAAAAAAATTCTTTACCATCGAAAGGAGGAAAATCCAACAGATTATACACCCTGCGCCGGCCCCCGCACCGCAAACAGGGGGAGGGAGCACAGCAAGACCATGCAGAAGCTGATGGCAATGTGGAGGGCACAGGGCACTTCCCGCCAGCTCTGCATCCCCTGACCCAGGGCCTGGCAGGGGCAGCAGGGCCAACCCTCACCCCGGGTTGTTCAGGGGGTGCACAGGGCTCTGCTACCCCCCAACACAGGGCAAAGGATGGGGAAGGGGGCAGCATCTGCCTGCGCTGCGGTTCCGGGCACATCTAGTGGTGGGTGTTGCGGCCGCGCGGTGCCCAGACGGGGAGGGGGCAACGGTGCCGGCCTTGGTGGGGGGGCATGGTGCTATTTACAAGAACCCAATGCACATACATACATACATACATATTTATATCCAACAGCGGGGGGTAGGGGCCGGACGCCATGGGGCCTCAGCACGGGGACAAGAACAAAGTGCATTTCCAGGCTGCCCCCAACCTGCCCCGGCAGTGGCCGCAGTCCCAAGATGCGGCAGAGGGGGGCACAGACAGTCTGGGAGGGGGGCGGTGGGCAGCATGCGGGGGAGAGGGGGGCAGGGAGGCGCCCCTGACCCCCGGTTCCAGTTCTCTGAGCTCCCCGCTCTGGCTCCCCCTGCCGCCGCATAGCCCCCGGGGGGTGGGGGCAGCTCCAGCTCCTGAGCGTCCCGCTCAAGGGGGTCTCACCGAGGGTCCTCGCAGCCTGGAACACACATGGGGAGTGGGGTAGGGCAGTGGCACCATCCCCAGGGGAAACTAAGGCACGGGGGGGAGGGGGGAGGGCTCGGCTAAAGTCCCCCCAGCAGGTGTTTTCCACCAGCCCCTGTTTACCTGGCTCGCTGGCTGGTGGGCTCCTCCCTACAGGGCTGGGGGGACACTCTGGCCATGTGTCCACCTCCGGTGCAGCAGCCCCCACGGGTGTGGCGTCAGCTGATGAACCCTGCCCCAGCGACTGCAACAGCTCCTGGTGGGCTGCCTCCACGTCCTACGTAGGGTGGGAGGGGGGCATGAGCAGGGGGCAGCCCATGTCCCCCCACCTCCTTCCCAAGGACCCCCTGCCCCAGCCCGTAGCACTCGCCTTCAGCTGCCCCAGCTTCAGTGTGAGCTGCTCGATGACCTGGAAGATCAGGTCCACGTCCCGGATAGCCAGGCCGGGCGCGGGTGGCTCTGGGGGCCCCTCCAGGCTGCCGGGACAGGGCCCTGTCTCCTTCCTCCTGGAGGCTGGGGAGTGGGTGCAGGGGGGTGCCGAGGGGCTGATGGGCGGTGCCGAGGGGCTGATGGGCGGCGTGGGGTGCTCGGGCTCTGTGGAGGACTCAGCCGGCATGCTGACGTAGAAGTAGTTGCCTGCAGCATGGGATGGGGGGAGCAAAGTTGCCCTTAGCTGGGCAGGTGGTAACAGCGGGGCACCATGCCATGCTCTAAGCATCACCCCTGAGAAGGGGCAAAGGAGGGACCTGCTCAGAATCGGGGGCCAACTCCAAACCCCTGGATCCTGCTGGGGATTGGGACCTTAGCAGGCACTGTGCCATGCTCTGAGCATCACCCGACAGAGGGGCATGGAAGCAACCTGCTCAGAATCGGGGCCCGACCCCAAACCCCTGGATGTTGCCAGGGATTGGGACCTTAGCACCGAGCCTGTGGGTGCCTACTGTGCACAGGGCTCCGGAGAGACGGGCTCATGGTTCTGGAGAGCTGGAAACAGCGCCCAGGGGCAGGATAGGGATCATTCCCAACCCCTGCCCCCAAAAATGGCATTACCATCTACATTAGCTCCTCCTCCTTCCTGCAATGCAGTTTCTGATTGGTTGCCGCCTGGCAGGAGCATGGCTGGGTTAGTGCCCTCCACCTCAGCTGTGCAAAGACACCAGGAAAAGAAGTGGGGAAAAAGAGAGAGGGAAGGGGGGGAAGGGGGTTGGGAAGTGATGGACGGGTGCAAGGAGCAAAAGCCCAGTCACCAGCCGTGCCCAGAGAGATGGAGGGAGGTTTGCAAACAGCCCCAGAGCCCAGTTGCATGCGGGTCACCGTGATCAGCAGGTGCTGGGAGAGGAGACGAGAGAGTGCCGACCCTACCCCCAGCCCACCCTGGAGAGACTCCCCTGCACCCCAAGTCACCCTCCTGGCCTACCTTTGCGCACCACCTTGAGCCCGCTCTGCCCCTCGGCACCTGGGGACATCTCTGCCTCCTGCAGCCCCGCTGGGCACGTGTCCTCCGTGGCCCCTCCGTCCAGCCAGTCTCCGGGCTCAGGTCCTGTCTCACCACTCGCTGGGCAAATCTTGCCCTCCTGTCCTGTGGGCTCCACTGGAGGGTCCTGGCCAGGTAGTGCTGTATCCCAGGGCTGGACAGTGCCCCCGATGACCGAGGGTGTGGGCGTCAGGTCGTCCTCAGGCTCCAGGTCCCGGCAGGGTAGGAGGCTGCGCAGCAGCAGGTGCCGCAGGTTCTCCACTGCCAGGGGAGAGAGCACGAGCATGGGCAGGTTGGCTGGGACCTGAGCACCCAACCCGCCCCTTGCTGTGGACTGACACTGGTGCCACCACCAGGCCCCATAGATGGGAGCATTTGTGCCAGACTGAAAGGCTGGTCCCAGCCCTGCTGATGTCCCGTCCCACGCCAGCCCGCCCCGGATGCTGCACCAGGCCCAGTTCTGGCTGTGCAGCTCACCATCCGCCAGGGCCGACTCGGCCAGCCCCTTCCCAAGTGCCGGCTCTGGCAGGGCAAGGTGCATATCTGGCTCTGGCCGCTGCGGGTGAACATCGTCCGGCTCCACGGGGGGCAGGGCAGGCACAGGAACTGCAGGCAGTTCCTCCTCTTCCTCGCCTGCCCTGCCCTCACTGCCCTCTGCCTCGGGCTCCTCCTGCTGCACCAGGGGCTTCTCTTTGCCCAGGAAGTCGCCGGGGTTGTTGTCTGCTGAATGGGGCAAAAGGGAACAGAGTGGTGTGTTTGGGCACCATCCACACTGGTCCATGGTGCCCAGACCCAGGTTCCTTGGAGGGGCAGAACCTGCCCGCTGGGCCCCAGGCAGGGGACGAGGGGACTCACCTGAAGAGACCTCTTCCATCTCCGCTCCTGAGCTGCTGCATTGTGCCAGCAGCGGGGAGCCCTCGGCGTCCTGCAGCACCAGGCTGGCAGGGATGAGACAGGTTAGTGGGGGGGGCCCTTGGCACAAAGCTGGCCTGACCAGGCCCCCTCAGCATGCCGAGCGAGTCCCAGGAGTCTCAAGCAGGGTGATCCTCACCTGGATGGCGTTGGCCTGTGTGTGGGCTCCTGCGCCCGGGGCTTGGGGGGGAAGGTGGCATTCCTCATGGCACTCTGCACAGCCTCCTCCAGCAGCTCCATCCACCTGCCAGGCCCAGGGGAGAGCCTGTCATGCCCCTGGCATGGGTCAGGACAGCCCTTGCCCCTCAATCCCAACCTGCATCCCCACCAGCTCCCCCCTTCTCTTGCGCTGCCCCCCGTGGGTGCAGTCTGAGCCTTACGCGTTCTTCTCCGAGGACGTCAGTGCCACCAGCTCGTAGATCTGGGGCCCCAGCTCCGAGGTGCAGATGATGAAGAGGGCTCGCTTATCTGCAGCAAGAGGACATGCGGACGCTGCAGCAAGGGCCAGGCATCTTGCACGACCCCTGGATGCGGCCCCTCCCCGAGCCTGGCCTGGACCCAGGGCTGTCTGTTGTTCCCCTGGGACAGGCGCTGGGGGGCGCAGCTGATGAACAGTACAAACCCTTCCTTGGGGGATCTTATCGCCTTCCCCCTTCTCTGGCTGGTGTGTCCCCAGCCTGCAGGACTGGGCTGAAACTCCCACCCCCCAAGTCCACTGCCAGGGAGACAACCTGGCATATGCTGGGCATGGCTGGGTGCAGGCTGCCCCCCGGGGCTCCCGCTACCTGTGGCCACGGAGCGGATGAGCACCGAATTGAGCTTGAGGACGGGGCTGAAGGTTTGCTTGGTGTCGGCGGAGCCCAGTGCCGTCTTGCTGTGACACTTCAGCACCAGCTTCTCGTCCTGCTTCTGCAAAAGCACCAAGAGGTCTTCGAGCAGCAGCACATGCAGATCTGCATGGGGCGGGCAGAGAGAGAGGGTCCGGCTCAGAAGGTGTCTCCGGGCCGTGGCGCTGCCGATGCCCCACGTTTCTCCGGTCGCAGCCAGGGCTTCCCCTGGGAGGAGGCTGCTCTCCACCCAGCAGCTGGGGAAGGAGCCAGGCTGCGCCCCCCTCCACCCTGCCGATACCAAGCTGGGACTAGCGACCTCCCTTCAGCCCCCGACTCTCTGTGGATGTCAAAAGGGCTGTTGTCCTGACCCCCTTTTGTCTCTTTTACCCACCCCAGTCGACCAGACTCCTCTCTGGGGGCAACACGGGCTCAGCCTCACATGCAAGGGACCTCCCCAGGCCCTGGAGATGCAACCCTTGCCTGCCTCATGCTCGGCAGAGGGGCAGCTCCTTGCTGCAGCCCCGAGCCCCCAGGGCCAGTCTACAGAGCCTGGAATTGGGGCGTCTGTAGAGCAGTGGTGCATAGTGGATAAAAGCCTCCTGACACCAGCTGCGAAAGGAGCTGCCTCTGCCCTCAAGCTCAGGCTGCAGGGAGCTGGGCTCTAATGAGGGTCAGGGGAATCAGAGGGCCATGGATCTCAGGCAGGGTTGGACTGCAGGCCCCGTTTTGGGCTGGCTGCAGAGACGAGCCCCCACAAATGGGCAGGAGGGAAAACTTCCTCTCTGTCATACCTGTGGCTCTTTCCCCATGCTCCCCCTTTCCTTTGTCTCAGGGGCTCTGCAGGAGCCTGCATGGACCCAGGGGGATGGGGGCAGTGCTGGTCTGTGCTCCCGGCTGCGGGTGGGTACGTACCCACGGTCTTGTCCTTGCTGACACGCCAGCTCAGGGGCCCCTCGTGGATCATGCGGCGGGACGTGAGGTCCAGGTTCTGTGGGGGCAAGAGCCCATGCTCAGCTCTCCCCAGGGAGGGCAGGGTCAGAGCCAAGCCCATCCCATCCTGCCCCCATAGCGGGCGCTACCTTGAACTCGGCTGCCAGCGGGTTGCTGGTGCGTTCCAGCGAGGTGGCATCCAGGCGCTTCTGGTAGGCCTCCAGCCGATGCCGGTTCTCTGCCCGCTTCACCGCCTCGTTCACGTGTCGCAAGATCTCCCGGCACTGGTCCCGGGCACGGCTCAGCTTCTCGTGCTCTGGGGTCCCGCCTGGGGGTGAGGGGGTGGTCAGAAGGGGAGTGCATATGGCATGGTGGGGTTCAACACGCCCATACAATCAAATGGCTCCCAGAGCCAGGGCCTGGGATCAGGCCTGCACTTTGCCCTGCACCCAGCCTGGTCTGCGGCCCTGCAGCCAACAGGGGGGCTCCAGCTGCCCCTTGTACACCAAAGGCACTAGGATGCCCTCCTCTGCAATGGCTTTATAGACCCTATTTGTTCACCCCAGAGATGAGGCGGGACTTTGCCTCCCATAGCCCAGCCCCTGAAGGTCTCTCTGCCGGGATGTATTGAGCTAAGCAAGAAACCTGAGTGGGGCTCAGGCATCCCCCTGCCCTCCACGCCACCCCATACCCTCCGTGTGCTTGAGGACATTCTCCAACAGCAGCGGGTACTTGGTCAGACGCTGCATCTCAGAGATGATCAGGTCCTTGAGCTGCAGCCGGCGGCACTGTGGGTTGCTCTCGGCTTCCTGGGGCAGGGCAAAGAGGCAGTCAGAGGAAGCAGGACTCCCGGGGAAGCAGGGAGACGGCAGGCACACCAAGTCAGGAGGGGGTAGATGCTCTGTGCTGGCAGCCCTTGGTCTGGGTGATGTGTTTGTGTGTACATGTTACACTGGGCTTCTTCCATGAGAACTGGTGTGTGTGAGAGAAACCGCTCGGGGAGGTGGGGAGGAGATACCTGCATGAAGATCTGGAAGCGGGTCTCCTTGCGCTGCTTGGTTTTGATAAGCTCCAGGGCGATGGACTGGTAGGCGCAGAAGTCGGCTGCGACCTGCTGGATTTCCTCGCGTGCTGGCCCATCGAACTGCGGAGGGGGATGGAGTGGGTTCAGGCACCTGTTGTGTCATTGTGGCTCCAGATGTGGGACATACAGCAGCGCGGGGGGAACAGACAGCTGTGAGGCCACCGCTCCCTCCAAGAGCTCATCACTCTTGTTGTCCATAGCCACATGAATGCCCAACTCAGTCTCGCTGACAAACAAACACCCCTGCCTGCAGGCTGAAAGGTGCCCCGTTTCCCGCACCCTTTCTACCCTGGGGCCAGAAGCCTGTTGCCCTTACTGCCCAGCTCACCCGGGACAGCATGAGGTCCCCGATCTCTTTGATGATTGGTCCTTCTTCCCGCAGCTTCTTCATGGACTCACAGAGCGAATCTGGACAGGAGGGGATTGGAGCAGCACGTTACCAGGGAGCAGGGCAGGCGACGCTGCCAAGGGAAAGGCCTCTCTGCTTCTAGGGCTCCAAATGCCCCTTGTAGATCCAGGGCACCGGGGTCACGTCCCCACCATGAGGTTATAGAGCCTGCATTACTTGTGGCTTCTCCACCACACTCCTGCAACCTCCTCCCCCTACCCTATCAGACCCTGGGGCCTGTGGGCCCTCGGCTTAGTGACTGGTGGATGGCCTTGGGGCAGGATCATTCATGCAATGAGCTGCTTCCAGCCTCAGCTTCTGGAGGAGCTGGGGGTGGGGAAGGGAATGAGAAAGCCAAGGCAGCAGCCAAGGTGCTGCAACGTGACCCTTGGGCCCCATGCTCCACCTACACTGCTGCTCCCCACATGCCCCTAGGGTGCCTGGCAGGGAGCCCAGGTGCGCAGGGTCTTACTGTGGATTTCGATGAGGTCTGGGAGGTTGGGGAAGAGCAGTGCCAGCTCCTCCCGTGACAACAGGCTCTCCTTCTTCAGCCGCTGGTAGAAGAGGACATCCAGGACCCGGAGGATGCGCAGGTGAGACGCCTCTGTGGCAAAGAGCTCTGTTCCGGGGGTGGGAGAAAGAAGGGGTCAGGCACGAGCCAGTGCTTCAGGCTCCCCTGGGGACTCTTCCTGGCCTACAGCAAACTGCCCCCTCGGCTATGCAAAATGGTGGTCAGACCCTGCCCCTACGGCTGCAATTTCCAGCCCGACTTTCCCCCGTGCCTTGTCCTATTTGCCTGCTTGTGGTTCCCCCACCTGATCCATCTGCCACACACCCTCCTGGCCAAACAGCCCCTTGCAGCCAGCTTGGTGTTCCCCCAGGGCAGCCTCTGGGCCTCGGGGTCCCGCCGGGTGCCGAGGACTCCTCACCATTGATCACCTCCTGCCGGTCGATCTCTTTCTGTGTCAGGTAGGCTGTGACCTCCCGCCCCATCGTATGCTGCCAGTTCTGTGTGTCCGGCTCGGGCTCCAGGTCTGAGAGCTGGCCCAGATCATCCTCGAGGAGGTGGGGCAGGAAGGAGTCCGTGCCAAAGCCCAGGTTGGGGGACTCGATACTCCTGGGAGGACGGCAGAGGGGGTCAGCCCCTGGCTTGGGCCCAGAGCCCTGCCCTGGCCACAGGCAACAGCACTCAGGTAGGTGTGGGGTTTTCCAGTGATCTGAGAAGAGACAGGAGTGGCTTGACGTTGGCTGACATACTGTACTGCATAGCACAGCCAGGGGCTCCCTGAGGGAGCCACACATCACATGGGCCCCCATCTCACCCGTGGGCTCCTACCTCGTCGACAAGCTGGAGGCGGAAGATGAGGCTGACTGATGTAGCCGTGTTGCCTCTGCCGCCGCGTCCATGTCCACGTCGCTCCGGGAACGAGGCACATTCTCAGCCTTGCGTGATTTCTTCATCTCCTCCCGGCCCTTCAGGCTCTCCGAGCGGCCCAGCTTCACTTCCAACCTAGAGCTGCATCGGAGAAGCGAGTCGAGCTCATCCAGGTGGCAGGAACTCAGGGGCACCCGAAGCCAGTGCATGGCCACGCTGCACCCCGCGGCCGCAGCACCAAGCCTCACTACCTGTCGGTTTCCAGCAGGTCCTCGGGGAAGCTGCCAGTGGAGAGGCGCTGCGTGCCGGGCTCCTGTGACTCGTAATGCTGGTTGTTCTCAAAGTGCTGGATGATGTTCCTCACATTGCCGGGTTTGACTGGAGGGACACAGGGACCCTCAGGACACCAGACTCATGAACCCCTTCGCATGCTGCAGTTCAGCCCCTCTGACAGCTACACCAGGGTGGGGGAAGGCCCCCCTGTTTGGTCTGAAGCCAGCTGAAGCTGGGGGTGCTTTTGGGGTTCAGGGTAGCACTGCAGCTCCCCTCCCCCAAAACAGCAACCCCACCCTTCCCCCATGCTTCCCCCTGCAGAGCCAGGAGCTGAACCTGGGGCCCTGCCACGCTGCCTGTCCCGGTGCCCACCCCATGGTCAGAGCCCTCAAGGGAAGGGCCCTGCTGATACAGCAACAGAGGAAAGGAATCGAAATGAGGCGAAATGCAACGTAAAATAAAAGAGGCCTTTTACCTTCAACAGGGGACAAGGGGACATGAAATGCTGAAAGGAAAAAACAATGAGATGTCAAGTCGGCCCGGTGCTCTGGCAACTGAAGAGGAGGGTGCAGGCTGTGGCATGAGAACGCAAAGGAGATGGAGGGAGAGCAGCAATGGGGGACACACATGCTTCCCCCCCACCCCAGGGACCTGCCATCTGGGCAGCCTGGCAGCTGCAGGTGGCACTGGACACTGACACACGTCTCAGGGGCTGTCTTATCCCAGTCTCCAATTTCTGTGCAAAAGCAACCATGCCTTCGCATACAACCTGCTTGGTTTTATCTAAGACCACCCCCAGAGGTACACTCCTGCCCCAGCCTCCTCCTTCCCACTGGTCTTGGTGGTCACAGGCATTGGAGACCAGGAGCCTCCCAGCTGATGCTGCACAGAGCAGAGGGATCCAGTGCTGGTGCCAGGCCCCGGCTCAGTAGGGAGGAGCAAGACTGCAGCTGGGCTTGCAGAACTTGGCACTGGCTGCAGACACTGTGCTCCTGGGGGGGGGGGGGGGGGGGGGGGCGGGGGGGGGCATGGTTCGGGGGAGAGCATGTGACTGAATTCAGGTGAAGAGGAGTGCAGGTGAGGGAGAAATCGTGCATCTGTCCTGGCTGGGAAGCCTGAAGGGTTTTGCTGCAGCCTCCAGTAAGCGGGGAAAGACTGAAGGCAGGTGGAGAGGCCTTGGGCAGATGTGGGCTCTGCAATGGGGAGGTCTGGGACCCCGCCTCACAGCACAGACAGACTCCAGACCCAGGAACTTTGGGTTACAGAGATCAATGCCTGCAGTGGCACGCATCACTCCGAGATCAGCACAAGGCCCCAGCTAGACGCGGGGCTTGCACTGCAGCTGGACCCCAACACGGACAAGGCCTTGGACTCCCAAACCTGGATCCACTTGCAGCCAGGTGGCAAGAGGGACAGCCCTGAGCCGAGGGGCTGCACTGGCTCCAGAAGTGGGACACCCTGCCAAAGGCCACCGGCGAGGAAGCAACTCCCAAGGAGAACATGGCTGCCCCACGGACCTTCCTGCAGGTCCCCCCTGCCCCCCAAGCTGCCCCATGGCCCCTGCACTCACTGCTCTGGGAGGAGCTCTTGGGCTTCCCAATGTACTTGAGGATGGGGTTGCGCTTCTTGTCCTCCATCGTGTCCTTGTCCTTCTTCGTGCCACTGCTCTGCTGACACATGAGGCAGGCATTAGAGCAGCATCGGCCAGCATCCAGGGCCAGGCCAGAGCCCAGGTCCACTCCCTAGCCCATGATGTACTACTGACTCACTCCACAGCCCCAGGCAACTCACTAATGTGCTGCCATGTGCCCTGGGAACAAAATCTGCCACAAGGGGACAGGAAAGGAAGACTAGCCAGTCCCACTCTGTCAGTCATGATGTTCCCCCTCCGGCATTAGGACAGGCCCTGGATGCTTGGGAACCTCAAGCTGCTAATATTTGAGCTAAAGGAGACTCTCCAGTTAGCTGTATAGGGCCTAGGATACACCATCCTGGTTCCACCCAGCAGGGGGCAGGAGTGCGCGTGCACACTCCCCCAGTTCTCATGGAAGAAGCCCAGTGTAACATGTACACACACACACGTCACTACCCCCGAGCAGCGTCTTTACCCTCCAAGCTGGTTACACCACGGGGCTGCGTTCATGCCCTGCCTGTGGCTGGTAGGAGATCCCAGCCCACGTGCTAGGGAGCTGGGAAGAGTCTGAACTGGATCTTCCAGGAACAGAAGCCCCAAGAGATATCCTCCTCTCCAGGGTAGGACATCAGACCCTCAGCCAGAGCCTGACTGCTGCAAGGGGATGCCTGAGGGGTGCTCAGCCCCTGGCCCAGCTTGTATGTGCCAGGAGAGCTGGGGCTCAGGGAGACCACTGGAGAGCATCGCAATGAGCTGGGCCTGGGGAGATGGCGCCTCACCCACCTTCTTTGTCTTGGGGAAGAAGGGCAGCCACTTGTCCTTGTCTGGGAGGGCCTGGGACTTCTCACTGGTGCTGGCAGGACGAGGTTCTGACCCACGGATGCCTGCGTGGGTCACGTAGGTGCGGAGGGCAAAGGCCATGGGGGAACTGCAAGAGAAGGAGCCACATGCTGCAGCTTGGACCCAGGGCCATGCTCGCAGGGGGGCCATTGCCTGCACCATGGGGGTCAGCTGTGGCAGAGGATAGGGCCCGAGCAGTGCTGGATACAGGATTAGAGGCCCTGTTGGTGCAGCTATGCCCAGGCTGCTCGAGGGATGCTGTTTATAACCCCTGTCAAAAGCCACCCAAGGCTTTGTGCCTGCCAACAGGAGAGTCCTTGTAGACATGTCAAGGTGCTACAGGGTGAGCTGGGGCCTGGACCTGGCAGCTTCTGCCCGCACGAGCCAGTCGTACTCAGGTGAGCAGGTTCAGTATCAAGGGGGTCAAACATACAGCCAACTCTCCCACCAGGGAAGCAGGAAAGCACGTGGTCTGTTCTGCACTGTGTTGATGCCCCAGCAGGGCTCCAGCATGGGGGGGAGCAAAGTGATTCTGCTGCCAAATCTGGGGCACGTGGGGGGCTGCAGCCTTGGCAGGGAGGCTGGGACCCAGCGGTGGAAGCAGGTGGCTTTTGCCAGTGCCCCTGAGCACAGAAACCTCTGTGCTGCTCTGGCACGTCTGTGCACATGGTCACCGGCTCTGAAGCCACTCACCTCCTATCATCCTCGTACTTCGACCTGGGGTGAGAAGGAAGGACAGGGGGTGAGAAGAGGCGGCACCTGGGAACAAGCCTTTGTTGCCTGATCCAGCCCACCCCAGAGCGGGCACGTGGGAGCAGGTGGACTGCCCACCCCCCATCTCGTTCACACGCCCGCTTTCCCCCGAACCCAGGCCGACCGCAAATCCCAGTCCCACTCCACTCAGGGCCCAGACCCTGACCCCTGGGGATGTGGCCTGGCTGCCGCGGGGCACTCACAGGATGTCACCCAGCTGGGTGATCTGTTTCTCTGCCACCTGCCGCTCCCTCTGGGGGTCCCCGTCCAGGTCCATCAGGTCGTTCTCGCCGTACAGGCTCCCCAGCCCCATGGTGCGCTTTGTCCTGAGGACGGATGGGCGTAGGTCAGGGCTGAGAGCCTCTGCGATGCAGGCACTGGAGGGGGCATGGGATGCTGGGACAAGCTAGCCCCCAGGCAGCAGCAGGAGGGCGGGCAGCATGGTTACCTGTAGTCCTGGATCTGCTCTTGGATCTCAGGCATCACCGTGTCTTGGGCTTCGGACAGGGCGCTCCTGATGTCCTCCCCGTTTCGCAGGCGAGACTCTGCAGCCGGCAAGGGCAGGGAAGAGAGAGGTGAGCCCGTGACTTGCTATCCCTCGATGGTGTGGGGGGTGCAGAGATGGCCGGGTGCGACAGCTGCTCCAGGGAAGCACACAGCCTGCCACCAAGCCTGCTGACCAACCCCTGGGGTCTCAGCCCCTGCTGCACTGGGGACATTCAGTAGCTTGGAGCCATGGGCCGTCTCGCTCTGACTACGCAGCACTTGGCACCAGGGCTGAGTTAGGGCCCTTATTCACCACCCGCCCCCACCCCAAATGCGAACAGAAATGTCAGCCCCATTTACAGACCCTGATGGGTACAACTGAAATCACGTCCCCAGGTAAGTCACAGCACCTAGGCATCCTGCCACCTTATCTTAACACAAGACACTTCCCCTCTTGGGGGTGGGGGCAATAGAAAAGGGAGGGGGAGATATCTGCAAGACTTGCTGTGCAGATAGCCCACCTCCCAGTGCTGCACCAAAGGGGAAGCATAGCCAAGGAGCGTGCATCTTGCACACAGGCCAACAGACTCTCACCTATTTCCAGCAACAGCGAATCGGCCACCTTCACCCTCAGTGCCTGTGGAGTTTAAAAAAAAACCAAACCAGTCATGCGTCTGCTCATCTGGACCCCGTTGTTACTGAATCACAGTTACCCATGCAGCCAACAGGCAGCGCCTTCCACTGCTCGCATCTGCGACCGGGCAGGATCCTGCCCAAGCTACCCCCAGAGCCAGGCTGCGCCCAGGCCAGAGGGGATGAGCACCGGGGAACAGGATTTCAGAGCAAGCCCGTGCGACTGCCCCTCAGCAGGGAATTGGCTCAGAATTTCACCCATGAGGAACAGATCCCCATCAGCTACCGTCTCTGTTAAGCAGCCGGCTAAAAACCTTGGGTAGCTGGAAGAAACCCCAGGGGATGGGGACCCTGGCAAGCCTGGGTCACTCAGCCAAAGTGAGGTTGCTACCTGGGTCTTTGCCCAGAGACAGCAAGCTCAGTGACAGAAGCAGCTGCCACTTGTGTCAGCCCTTCCCATTGCTACCCATGCTATTCCCTTGCTGAAGCCTGTCTGCACAGTCCATGGGATGCTCAAGGCAGGACAACTCAGGGCCATTTCCAGGCTGCCCCTGCCTTCCCCCGCAGGAGGGGAGCTCCAGGCAGGCGTTGCTCAACTTCCACCCTCACCGCGTTCTTCTCCAAGAAGATGTTCCAGATATCTTTGCCCAGTGTGCGGGACTCCTTGAGGTTCATCTTCTGGCAGACGTCGGCGCACAAGTAGAAGAGCTGCGGGGCAGGAGGAGCAGGGCACAGACAAGAGTGAGGTGGGTTAGGAGGAAGGAAGGAGAAGCGCGCAGAGACCGTGGCAGGGGCTGGAGGGCTGTCGCGCTGGCACAGACATCCCACACTACGCTACCACCCTACCCCACCTGTGTGGCCCTGTGGACCCTCATGGCAGGCCAAGCACTGGCCCCACACTGGGAGGTCTCCACTGCTTAGCAGCAATGCAAACAAGTGTGCCCGGGGTTGCAGATGAGAGTAGTGTTGGCATCAATGCCCCCACCGTGGGCCACAAGGGAAGGGTGGGAAATGCACTGCCCTGCCTACCAAGCTGGGCCCCCAGCCCAGCGCTGCCATCAGCTGGAGTGGTCCCACCGTTTGGCCCCAAGGTGGGAATTCCCCTGCCCTGAACAGAGTAGTCCTCTGGGAAAGATCCAACCAGGAGTCACCCCCCAACCCACAACTATTGTTGTAGGGACCAGCAGGGCCATTGCTGCAACCTCCCATGACCTGGGGCAGGTCAGCAGCAGCCAGAGGGGCTGGCCAGGGTGGTCCCCTCTCTCACCAGGGGGCTGGGATCCGCCTGGGAGAAGATGTACCGCAGGAAAACCCCCAAGTGAGCCGGCCGGGATTTCAGCTTCCCCAGGTCCTGAAAGAGGCTGTCACACTGTGAGGGGAGGGGGAAGAGAAAGACACTTGAGCTGGCAAGAGGCCTGAGGCACACAGCCAGCCCCAGGAAGGGGCTCCCCTGCGTTGCAGCATGCCAAATCCCCAGCTTCTTCCTCCCTCTGCTGGTGATGCTGCTGCAGCTCAGAGCCCAGTGGGAGGCACTCCAGCCACAACCGTCCCAGCCTAGCCAACCCTGGGGTGATCGTAGCGGCTCTGCCTACCCTGGCCTGACATTGGGGCACTACCCAATGCAGATAAGGGCTATGGGGGAGTCAAGAACTCTCTTTCCTGATTGCAAGGCCTTGTATGAGATGGCAGCACACACAGAGTAATGTGCTGAGACGTGGCGGAGGCACCGGGGTCAACACAGAGGACAAGTGCATGAGGCAGCTGCCCTCGATCGCTAAACTGCCCCACCAGCTGGACAGCTGGCAGCGGTTAGCTGCAGCATGGCAGAGCTCAGCACAGGCTGGTTCCCCTAGCCAAGATGAGGCCCTGGTGTCTGTTGCCTCTGCTGCAGAGGCAACCACAGATCTCTGCTTGTGTCCGTGGGGCTGCCGGCAGGGCGCCTGACCACCAACATGGGGGGCAGGAGGTGGGATCTGCGAACACATTTCGCTACCCCTGAGCAGCCGCTGGGACAGAACATGGGGGTGGGAATGTCTCGGGAGCCGCTACCTCATTGTTGAAATAGCCCGGGTCATAATCCTCCTCAGGGCCAATGATGAGAGGCCGCAGTGTCCGGTCTGAGCCCTGGAGGAGACAGAAGCAGGATGGGACCAGGCAGTTGTTCCATTTGGTGGTCCAGAGGGGAGGGCATCTCACACCGCCACTCAGCATGGTGCCACCATGGGTCATGAGGGCCAGGCATGACCCAGAGGGCACAGAACGCCCTCCCCAGTCACCCAGCTCATCTCCGGCAGCTGGCCTGACCCAGGCCCACCTGGCAGAGCAGGAGAAGGGAGCGCGCTCCCCCGTGCCTCTGCCCTAGTCCCACCTGCTCTGTGGAGGGCGCGAAGGGCGTATCTGAGCCCTGGCGGCGGTGGTGCTGGAACATCTTGGAGGTGATGATGGGAGACGTGCGCGGGCTGTCGAGGCCGGGGTCGGACAGGACTGAGTTGCGGTTCAGGGAGATCTGCTCGGGATGAGAGCATCAAGGGGGTGACGGCGTGGTCAGGAAGGGGGCAGGTGCCGGAGGATGACTCAGATGGTCCAAAATGAAGGCCTCCCTGTCCTGCTCCCTGCCCCACTACTATTGCAGGACCCCTCCTCCAGACTGACCCAGTGTAAAAGTACCGGCATCAATTGGACAGACAGTCCAATTGGTGCCAACTCAGCTCCTGGACTATCTTCATTGCTGTCTCTCCACACTTGGGGGTTTCCCCCATGCCTCTGTGCCAGGCACCCTCTTTCAAACCTCCTTCCACCTCTACTCCCCCCATAAGCGGTGCCCAGCAGGCTTCGCCCTCTGGCCTCTGCTGCTTGCTGGGCTTGACTGCTCTGTAACCCCAGGGTGGAGTTTGGGGCCCCTTGCAAATGCCCAGACAAGAGTGAGGCTTTCCAATGCACCCAAATCACAGAGGACCTGCGCTGACTGGGGAAGCAGAGCTTGGCTCCTCTGAGAGCATGATGCTGAGAGGAGCCAGGGATGCAAGTCAGTAACTGAAGGCATCCCTGGGACATGGCAGTGATGCCACATGAGCACAAGGAGCCTGGGAAACTCTGAGTTGGAGCTATGCTCAGAGTTGTCCAGCACATCCAAGGGAAGAGAGGCAGAGCCAAAGCACCCAAATCCCCTCAGCTCTGCCCTGCAGAGCCAGGACCCAGCTGGCCCATCCTGGGGAGGCATTTCCAGGTCCATGAACTGCCCCCAGTTGCACCAATTCCAAAGGACACGTCCATTTTCCCAGGGTCCTGCTCCTCAGGGGACTGCCAGCCTCCACGCGAGGGCTGCATGTGTGTGCAGGGGAAACCAGGTTGGCTTACAAAACCCAAGGCACAAACTCAGAGACTTTAGCCACGGAGCTGTGACCCACCCCCTGGCAGCATGGCCCTCACCTCGCTCACCGAGGGGAACCGCTCCGTGCCGGAGTCCAAGCCACTGTCGCCATCCTGAGAGTCCAGGGAGAGGCGGCCTAGAAAGGAGACGACGCATGAGCAGAGGCAATGGAAGATGAGAGTTGGGTGCTTGAAGACTGGTGGAGACTAGAGAGCTGGGCTGACGGTAGGTGGCCTGGGCTCATACAACCCCAGCTGGACTCCAGCTCTGGACCCAAGGGGAGAAAGACAGGCTCCCACCATCAAGAAGCAGCTCTGGCTCATGAGAATCCTGGGTAGGGACTGGGACCCTGGACTCCTGAATCCACAGTCTCCCCTTCCTGCCTGCCTGGCCCTGACACCTGGGAGAAACACCAGTAGCCAGTGAGGGGATGCACACTATGGAGGCGGCAGCTGACACCCACCCAGGCACTCACCTTCTGTGACCTGGAGCCCCGCGGAGCCTGGGTCACTGCTCAGCCGTACACAGTCCTGCAGCGAGAGGACGCACTGGGTCATCCCATCGTTCCCGCCCTGCCGGTGGAGAAACAGAGGCAAAGTGGGTGGGCGCCACCCTTAATAGCAAAACCACTTCTCTGATTTCAGGCCCCTCGAGGGAAGGAAGCTGCACATAGCAAGCAGGGAGCAGACCCTGGCAGGGGCCCAGAGCATGGGTCACCACCCAAGAGAACAGCGCAGCCTGGCTGAACTGGTGCCCTCCTTCCTGCAGCCAGCCTGGCCTTCAGCCTAATACTCAGCCAGCTGCGATGCCCTCTGGAGACTTAATCGCAGGACCAGGAGAGGCATCTGGTCCTGCAGCTGTTCACAGGCAGCTCCTGAACCCATGGATACCACAGAACCAAGTCTCACCCACCCCAGGAGGCACAAAGCCAGCGACACCAAGAAGACCCCACAGGGAAAGCAGAGGGGATGGCGGGGGGCAGCAGCTGGGACCCTGGGGAGCAGTCCTGGCTCTGCTCCCACTTCAGCATGTACTGGGGGGGTTGAATGCAAAATCATAGTGCTCTGTCCATTGCCCGCCGCTGCCTACCACCAAGCTGCCAGTCTCCTGGAGGATCTTGAGCTGCAGCTGGCTGACCCGGCGGCGGGCGCCCTCGATCTGACCCTCCAGCCCGGTGGCTGGGCGCCGGCTGTACACCTCGCAGAAGCGCTGGGCAGGAGACAAAGAGGAGTGGGCCATGGACGCTTGAGGAGAGCGTGCGACCGCGCAGGCAGTGGGGAGCTCTGCTTGGTGGCCTGAGAGAGCTTCGCTGAGTGAGGGCATGGGGCTGGCAACAGTGGCAGGGTGGGGAGGAAGGAATTACAGCCCCATAGCCCACTGGCCACAAAAGCAGCCGCTTGCAGTGGCTCATCCTCCGAACCCCCAGCCAAGCCACAGACAGATGCAGGAGTGCGGGAGCGATGGCACAAATGTCCGATCAGGTGCAGCAGGCTGGGGATGGGGTTACAAGCAGAGATGGACCCCAAAGCTGGGCTGCGGCAAGCACAACATTGGAGGAGACACCCGCCCATCGCACCCGGGCCTTGGGGAAGTGCCATCGTACCTGTAACTCAGCCTCCTCCTGTCGCAGCATGTTCCGGAGGATCTGGGTTGCGTGCTTCTGGACCTCTGGGTCCTGCAATTCAGAACGGGCACCAGTCAAGTGGGACCAAGACAGGCGGAGCTCTGCTTTCCTCTTCCCATCCTCTCCTCTGCCAGGCCCACAGCAGGGTAGCACAGCAGGCTAGCAACACCCCCTTCCCGCTCCCTCCTTGGCCCGTGGTTACCTGCAGTGGCTTGGGTCCAGTGATGCGCTGGGGCGGAGGTAACGGCGGGGGCCGG